AATTGACGCTGATGCCGTTATAATAGGCGACTGTGCGGCCAATGTAGCACGACCTTAATACTAAATCTAAATGGAATACCGAGTTGTTTTTTGTTAAGACGAAATTGCTCACGCGATGCCTTATTCGTATAACGCGTTTGTGTTTGTGCAAATTTCCCGTTAAAATTTGTAGACAAACAAGACAAATTTGTGGTCCCAGTTTTTAAGTCGTATTTTTGGAAATTCCTTATGGAACGATGCGGAGGGCTACTGTAACCGGGAAAAAACGTCCATAACGTAAGTATTTATTAGTAATGCACAAAGTGTACGACTTATCTTTGTAATAACGTACAAAGTAGGAATGCACACAGTGTATGACTTAATTTTGTAATAACGTACAAAAAATAACATATTTTTTTATCATTCATTGACCACGATCTCAGAGCGTTCGTTTGCGCAATACACTAACTCTTATGCAAACAACCGTGAATGAAGTGTACCACAATAAGTTCGCACGTTACCGAATGACCGTGGGTTGTTGCGAACCTCCAGTTTTCTTTTCTTTATACTTCGAATAGAACTTAAAATTAATATTTTTATAATAAGGAACTTCGTTCCTATCCGGTGTCCCACGACACCACACATCTTTTTTTTGGAGTTAAAGTAATCAGCAACGATAAGTGAATAATATATGTAGAAATAAGTGTAAAAAACGGTAGTCAATGGTGTTTACAAGTGAGATAGTTGCCGCTCCTTCTACGTCGGCGGGCAATTAAAAGAAACAGTGGTTGGGGACAAACGCGCGTTTGTCAGGGTCCAACCCTAGGTAGGCAATCGTTTCCGTGCGACGCATTGATTTGCTCACATGCACTTCTCTCATCTTCTTCAAATACCTATAAGAAGCAGTCCCGAATATTCTCTTACTTGGATTAATGAAAAATCTCAAACCATCAGCGCTTTTTTACATTCCAATTCCTATGTATTGTTTGAGGTAGGTATAAAAATGTCGGTTCCGTACTTAACTAAGAGTTTGAACAAAAACGACATTTATGTAATCGCACGAGAAGCAAGTGAGTTTTTGAAGAAAACAGAAACAGCTGATCTCTTTGTAAAATATCGAAGTCTTAAAATAAATATGCATACTTCATAAAAAAAAAAACACTAAGCCCCTAGTCACATCACAAATAGTTGCTAGATCCAAAACATTACGGACATTTATAATTCAAACATTAAAATAACCCACTTCTGTCTGTTACATAAAATTTTAATCACAATTCGAAATAGTATGTTTGACTTGGAACATTATTATTTCACTTTATGTGTATTGTTAATCAAAATCCATTAGAATGTGTAACGGATTAACTTACAATATTAGTGCAAGAATGAGTATCTCTTCCCGTCCAACTAAATCAAATGAAATTATGTAAACACTGAACTAACTTTAAGTTATCTTGTCTGTGATTTTAGATCCCAGAAAAGCCTTATGCTGTAGCAGTAAGGATCGTTTTCGAGTGAGCATCATTGAGAATAATGGTCGTATTAAATTTGTGGTTATGGAAATTCTCCAACTAAAAGCCCTAGTTGTTGAAGCTCTGTAAAATTATGCAGCTCTTACGTAATTACTTTGCCCAACGTTTTAGTACTCTTATAAGGGTTATTTAACACTACATTTATATGTTGTTTCAATGACTATGTTTAAATTATATTTTGGACAGCACTATCTCAGATATTTCGAGAATTTTTAGTGTCTGTTATATACAGAACCGAAGTATGCTTGTAAATGGGTGGATTTTATACTTTGAAATAAGATTCCTAAATTTAGCTAGTTATGCTAGTTGTAAGTATGGACTCCAAACTCCTGCGTAAACTCCTCCAAATTTTGGATCTTACATAGATGCACAGAATCATCAACGATATAGGCCCGACTCACCGGGTGCTGTTCAGTTGGTCGGGTTGAATTAAATACATATACTAACTTCTCGATTTACCCACTTCGAAGGCATTTTCAGTCCGATAAAGTGCAGACTTCCGAACTTGACTTTTATCGGGATTAGCTACGAGCACCTATATTTTAACAATCTGTCCATCTTGCATTAAAATTTTATAGAGAAGAGGTTAGGAATCTTTTTGAAGTTATACTTCTTTAGGCGCGTTATGAAAAATTTATGAGAGTGAAATTTTACGATGCGCGCGCACCGTGACACAAAATTAACAAAATGAAGTTGCCCACTAAATAGCTCATCACAATACGACCGACGTAACTTGGCGAGTCTGAATATAGCCGCAGGTGAACTTTCCGAACCGTACCGAGAATTACCGAATTTATACGATGTCAAGAAAAGGGGATGTCCAATATGCGTGTTTGAGGATGTTGTTTAATCGATTTTTTTTTCAAATTGATTAAAATTTAAATAAAAAAATGAAATAAATTTAATAAAAATAAAGTATAACTTCTTACGCACGTACATAAGTACACGCACCCTTTTTTTCCAACACGATATTAAATATAAGACTGATGAGCATACTGATTCTCCTTCGCTTGTGGTAGCTAAATTCATGATTAGGTTCGATTAGTTGCTCACCAATTAGCAAACTCAAATCATATATTTCAAATAAATTTTCATGAAAACATGCTTATTGGATGTCGAAATATTTTATCGCTATCAGCACTATTATTAACGGCTGCTTTTAAGGCTAATTTAAGGGCCACTTAATTTTAATGAGATTCCTTATAAATACTAAGATAACAATTTAAGCTAGAACCTTATTCTAGGATTTTTTAAATATTTAAAACCGATAAAGCGCAAGCTAGCCCAGTATATCGATTGAGTTACGAAAGCATATCAGGATTTTTGTGACTTTAAAAGCTGCTCTATCGATTTATTCGTTCATCCTTCAGTGTACTTAGTACGAGTTTTTTAAGGTTCTCGATAGCGTGAAAGTTAACACAGTTTTGTATACATTTGGAACAGCGCCCTTAGCGGCAAACGTAGGCAAACGATCCCATTCCATACAAATATGAGCTAACTTTAACGCTATCGAGAACGTTAAAAAACTCACACTAAGCACACTGTAAGCTGATTGGTTAAACGCATCGTTGATTCTGATATCAACCAGTGTAACCGCAAACTTAAAGGACGCTGTAAACAATACCGGTCGCCTTGCCCTCAAACTCATGTGTCAAGGGTCCTTACAAGCAATTTCGAGCATTATCCGTTCCATTGTTCTGGCGCGTATCCTCCGATTTCCGTCAGAATCGCCAATTATTAGACGTGGTCACTGAAGATAGGAAGCGGCTTATGAATTTTTGTTACTATTAGGTATATTTTTATTGTAAAGACTAGCTGACCCGGCAGATTTCGTAGTACCTTCGTCGATAAATAAAAGACCTAGACTTTTGTATAAAATAAACTTAAAACAAACAAAAGGAATCCGTCCGACGGGGGACACATCAAAGAAAAAACAAAATTGTTATTTTTATTTAATTCCGCGCATTTTCATATTTATCTACCTTTTAAACCTTCTCTGGACTTCCACAAATAATTCAAGGACAAAATTAGCCAAATCGGTCCAGCCGTTCTCGAGTTTTAGCGAGACTAACGAACACCAATTCATTTTTATATATAGAGATTGAAAGAATTTTGACCAGTGTGTGTTGACAGTGATGACATATGGCACTGATACATGTTCGCTCACAATGGCCATTACCAGATGGCTTAAGGTCACCTAAAAAGCAATGGAAAGAGCTTTGTTTGGAGTGTCTCTGCGAGATCGAATCAGGAATGAGGAGATTCGCAGGAAAACTATAGTAACCGACATACCCCAAAGGATGGCCAGGTTGAAGTGGCAACGGGTAAGGTGCATTTCTCGTAAAAGAGATTGCTGCTGGGGCCAAGAAGTAACGACCGCGTACCGAATGACGTAGCGTGGGTACGTCAGTCTGGACCTGTTGAAGGTCACGGGAATCCGTTGGATGTAGGCAGCGCACCAGACCGGTCGTTGTGGAGAGGCTTGGGTTGCCCATGTCCAGCACTGGACGCCTGTTGACTGTAAGATAAGAAGAAGAACGGTATATCATCAATGAATGCGTATGCCACATTTAATGTCTATGCTGGTGACCATTGAAGAGTTACTTAGTTACGACCCAATCCTAACTACAACCATGACATGGTAGAATAGTAAAATCGATACAAGTTTTCGGTGATTTAAACTTTTCTTTTTTGAATTTAAATCGATTTATTGAATTCGTTTAGTCTGTAAAATTAATACTATATTAACATAATATTTCATTTATACTCAAAATTAATACCATACACAGACCCGATCCATAATTAAATGTGAGATTTTCATCTCTGTGAAAGCCCGAGAATGTGTGTAAACAGATTTGAAGTCGCGATCAGAGAGCGTCTTCACTTGTTTTTAAGACGCTTGTATTAGCTCGGTATATAGGTATTTTTGTTTGTATCCAACCACCAGTAAATTAATTGTGAGTTCGGTTCGATATTTGTGCGTGTTTTTTTGTTGTTTTAAATCTACATATCTTCGTTGTCAAACCATAATCTGCTATGTGCACTTTTTGAGATTTTTACTTTTTGACCTTTTCGTATAGTTCACAGCCCTATTTACCGCATAAAAAAAACTGTTATGTGTCTATAGCTTTAATATTTATCTATAGCTTTCATTTAATATAGTTCTGAAAAATTCACCTTCATATCAAAATTTTATACGAAAATGTTTTTACTCGTTAATTCAAAATAGACTTTTTGCACATAGCAGATTTTGCTTTGACAACTACTTTTTTTTGTCTTGAGAGATAGCCTTGAGAGGCTATTTCAGCTTCATCCTAACGTGTGTAGGTGAGCTCAAGGGGCTCAAACCGGAGTGTTGCTAACACTGACCCTAGCGAGAGCAGTGCTTCGCAGAATCTGCCACCGGATCGGAAACGAGATCCACTGAGAAGATCCGACCAGAAACGCAGTGGGCTAGACAACGACGATATATTATTTATTGTATTGTTTCAGAGCATGCCGCCGCCGGCGTGAGGCATGAGCGGCCGCGGAGGTGGCGGGCAGCGCTGTCAGCTCATCCTGCAGCGTTGCCTCGCTATACAACTCACCAAGCCCGGCAACGCGCCCGACGACTTTTGGATGTACGATTCCGGATATCTGTTATTCCAGGTAAGGCCCCCAAAATCCTATTTACATTTGAAATCATATAGTTATTTTATGTTTACTACTTGTAAACATAAAAGCAAGTTTTATAATGCAAGTTTTATAATTTCTCGATCGCGTAAAAGTTAGCTCAAATTTGTATGGAGTTGGAACAACTCCACTACGTCTGCCGCTAGGGGCGTTGTTCCAACTCTATACAAAATTAAGTTAACTTTTAGGCGATCGTAAACGTTAAAAAAAAACTCGCACTAAGCATACTGTTTGATATATCGTAAATCTAAACTACTTTTAAGACTTAACCTCGAATTTTTTTTATTGTCATTATATTATTATTTCTAACGTTTTCATCACAGGAATAATTTGAATATTGTGCTAATATGATAAATATAGCACAATCAGAATCGAAACTTCGCAATTAATAATAATATATGAACGATACAAAAACGCGAGATTAAGCCGTAAAAGCAGTTATAATATCATTCTTCGGATGTCATGTTGCAAAGCGAGCATGCATCGACGCGGGCGGTCACAGACCAGCGTGTACACATGTTTAGATATGATGGGAATCATCACATATGGTGTTACATACACATCACACACGAAGCTGAATGATCCGTTTTTATGTAAATATGAAAACTGAGACGACCAGCCGGTGATACCTATTTCATTACAATTTTTAGTCTGTCTGGTACACATTCTTTGAACAAACATAAACAGAACGTAAAGAAAATCACAATGTATTTACGCATCTGGTTTTGTGAGTAAGCCACGAAATGTAGAAAGACTATAAATCTCTGATGCCCATAAATAACGATTAATTACTATTATATCGGTCAAAATGCTTGTAAGACGCTTCCTTATCTCGTTTAGATCAAAGGCCACCAAAATAAGTCTTCAGTTCACCGAAAATAATGCTCTAGTCCATACATGGCCTACATACATGCACTGAAGCGTCGTGCGTTATGTGAACGGCGTCCATTTAAATCAAGTGGACGGAATAAGTAATTTAAATTCTGCTGCCTTATGTTGATGTGTGTGTGGTCTAATTTACGAGCGGAATGTATGTACTCACTAGAGCTTAGAGGTGCTGTACAACCTGAATAGGTAATAGAGTTATGCCAACAAAACTGTTAGTAACACCTCCCATAGACACAGCTCACTGAGTTTCTCGCCGGATCTTCTCAGTGGGTCGCGTTTTTCGATCCGGTGGTAGATTCTGCGAAGAACTGCTCTTGCTAGGGCCAGTGTTAGCAACACTACTGGTTTGAGGCCCTTAAGCTCACCTACTAGTTCGGTGAATCTAGAATAACCCCTCTAGGCTATTAGAATAGGTAGGAAAAAGTTAGTAGCTTAGAACTAGTGAGTATAATGGAAATAAGTTTTCGCAGTGACATATTATTACTGGTGGTAAGACGTCTTGTGGATGGTTAGGTTCCACGGACTGACCCATTTTTGCTGCGAAGCATTAATGGGTCCCGGTTTGAGTGATGTGATATGCGCTATTTTTAATCGAGACCTGAACCTCATGTTTGATACTTGAGGATTATATGTTGAGGCATTAATGCTGTCATTGGGCCTTTGTAATCATTTAACACTAAGTGGGCTGTCAAGTCGTTTACTTATCCACTGCCCATCCAAAAATTTTATGAAGAGAATTAAGTTTAGATTTCAATGAATTTAAAATAATTACTAGCTTTCATTAATTTGGATTCGAATCTCAGTTATGATTATAAGCAACTGGAACATATCAGTTAATCAATTAATAGAATTGCTTTCAACTTCTAAGAATGAAAGAACTTCAAAGAAAAATGTACTCGAACAGAAATAGCGCAGTCACTTCCACTGCAAGATTTATTTTATGAACCATTAAATTTAACATCTCGCACGGAAACGGAACAATTCATTACAATAATTACTTATTTAGTCTGACGCTCCCGCCTACGCTTATCACTTAAACTCGTGTAATTATATCCGACGTTTGTAAAACGATACTGTTCACCTACAAAGTTATCTTAGAAACAGTTATTTAATCTATTTGTTCTTTCTCCTCATTTATTTAAAGTTCAATTTCGTTTGCATTAGCTTCGACATAATTTTGATGTGATATAACTTAGATGGAGTGCGTGTCTCCGCTTTTTTTTCTGTGCGGTTATATTTTTATATCTCTGGCAACTTCCTTATAATGAGCGCGTTAGGATATGGAGTGCAATTTTAATTTGTTATGTAACCTTCCTGTAACGAAATTGTATATTTTTTTAATGTACACTGACTGAATGAAATCTTATGTAGTAATTGTCATTTGGTGACGTAATGTGTTTTAATAATGTTCACTCATGCTAATGCCACTTCGATAATGCGACACGACACGAGAATCCTCTCATCGTGGCCGCCAGCCGCGGACCAAATGGTTAACAGTCAACGTCGCCCAAAACACGTCATTTCGGATCCTTCCGATCCACTAACAGTGCTTTTAAGTACCCCAAGCACCGATCGGCGAGTAAATTAACCCACAGACACAGCCCACTGAGTTTCTCGCCAGATCTTCTCATTGGGTCGCGTTTCCGATCCGGTGGTAGATTCTGCGAAGCATGGCTCTTGCTAGGGTTTCTGTTAGCAGGTGGGTGGCACATTTACGTTGTAGATGTCTATGGACTCCAGTAACCACTTAACACCAGGTGGGCTGTGAGCTAGTCCACCCATCTAAGCAATAAAAAAATAGCAAAAGATATAAAAAAGGTTTGAGCCCCGTAAGCTCACCTACTAGTTAAGGTTACGCTGATATGATCTCTCTAGACCATCAGCTTAGATAGGAAAAAACAAAATGCTAATGTGTAATAAGCATGACAATAAGAAAATTATGGTAAACCGCTATCTCGAAGAGAATTTCTTGAAATAGACTCGAGCCACAATCTGATACTGTGGAGAAACACTATATTATATGTTACTATACCACCTTAAAGTAGATTAACCTCTTCAGGACCATTGGTACATATGCGTATTTTTATTTATATATATTTTTATAGGTATCTAGTTATACCCTAAAGAACCACATATGCAGACGTATTTTAAAAAAAAACAAAACCCTATCTTTGTTATTTTTTACTCATTGGATTTGTTTTTAATATAAAATGAACAAAAGGCAATAAAGAATTAGCTCATTTCAGGTTTATTGTACTATTAAAAAAATCTTCATTAAACAGGATTGGAGATCGTTTTTTTTTTAATTTCATACGTTGAAGAGTGTACGTACGGCTCATCTGCAGTTGCAACAGCGTCTCTAGCGACAAACGTAGACATAACGTAGACATACATACAAATTTGAGTTAACTTTTACGCTATCGAGAACGGTAAAAAACTCGCACTAAGCACACAGGTGTGCCGTGGGCATTCACGAGTCTATGTCAAAACAAAATTTATTTAACAAACAAAAGTATTACAGTCATTTTAGTCTAAATGAAGCAAAACTAGCCTAGAGAAAATCGATCAAAAATCAATAAACAGTATAAATGAGTACTTAAATGAGTAGTAGAAGACCTACAAATCAAATCATCACATCAAAACAAAAACAAAATTATTCAACATAAATGAAAGTACATACTTGTTGAACGTCACAAAGAACTACCGCCAATTCACAAGAACTAGCCTCCGTCCTGAGAAGAACTGGCGAGGAACTCAGCGGGTGTCTTTTTTTTTTTTAATATTAGATTTTGTTTTAAATATTCATTTTTACAATGAGTATTATAACTTAACAATTATTGCAATATTGTAATGTCCGGAGCGAGCAACTCATTCCCACTTTGTGCAATCTTCTACCTACGGAACTCCACTCATATGACCAGCCCACTGCCATTTCAAGCTGCTCATATTGATGTTTCTTTTTTATGTCCATTACATCTTTAGTTTTATTGATAGAAGAAAAGCGTTCTTGTAAAGCTTGATGCCAAATGTTTACGGAAACCGTGTACCAGTATTCGTTGTTTTAACGCGCCACTGCTACCATAAGTGGCTAATGGACACGTGTCTAACTAAAACACATTTATATTTCCATTGAGATTCGGCGCGGCTGTAAAAGAAACAGCTGTTTACACAAAGAATTTGGGCCGTTAAAAATGCCTTCTAATTCTCAGAATTGGCCAGCATACTTCATCAGGAGTGATAGCTCAGTATTGTTACAATGTGCGAAATATTGATTCTAGTAGGCAGCGGCTTGGCTCTGCCCCTGGCATTGCTGAGGTCCACGGGCGACGGTAACCACTCACCACCAGATGGGCCATATGATCGTATGCCGACAAGGGCAATAAAAATTTTGTAAGCCTTTTGTAAATTGGTTAAGAATTGTAATTGTGTTAGGTAAAGCGTAAATTAGGACAAAAATCAATCTCTACTTGACGTCACGTAATTTTTATTATGATCGCTCTCAAGTCTCAAGGACAAGGTGACCGGTCTGTTCTCCATTTCACTTCTTAATTGTTTTTGTATAATTATTGAATAACTTTACGTTAACGAGAACGAAATATTGTTTTGTTTTTTATTCTGGAAATTTTTATCAAAATTCATACAAGGTCGTGTCGAAATAGAGTTTCATAAATCGAAACGTGATAATGTTCTCTTTATATTGGTCGTGTTACACGTCATTTCGGATCCTCCCGATCCACTAACGGTGCTTTTAGGTACCTCAAGCACCGGTCATCGTTCTCGTCGACCCCTCGCTTGCGACGAAGGCCTCGACGAGTAAATTAACCCTCAGACACAGCCCACTGAGTTTCTCGCCGGATCTTATCAGTGGGTCGCGTTTCCGATCCGGTGGTAGATTCTGCGAAGCACGGCTCTTGCTAGGGTTCGTGTTAGCAACGTCGTCAGGTTTGAGCCCCGTGAGCTCACCTACTAGTTAAGGTTACGCTGATATAGCCTGTCAAGGCTATCAGCTTAGGTAGGAAAAAAAGGTCGTGTTAAATCGATTGTTATGATTATATTATTGAAGTAATTACCCAAATTTTCTGAACACA